GGTGGACAAGAAGGATGACTGAGGGGACTTGCAGGTGGTAAAATTTTTCATTTTTCAGTTTCTGAGGGCAGTTATGTAACCAAAAAAAAAAAAAAAAAATCTACATTTGTAAGTTGCACTTTCACAACCAATAGCAGGACAGTACTTGTATGAGGTGAATTGAAAAATACTATTTTTTTTTTACAGTGCAATACCTGTAATTAAAAATATTAAGTGAGCACTATACACTTTGTATTCTGTGTTGTAACTGAAATCAATATATTTGAAAATGTATAAAACACCCAAAATATTTAAATAGATGGTATTCTATTTTGTTTAACAGTGCGATTAATCATGATTTTTTAATCGATTGATATCTTTACTAAGCAGAAGAAAATGCGGCTTTTAACTATCTTTATTTATATGAAACAAACACAGAAACAATTTCCTTACCTTATCAAATTTTTAACTTTCCCTCTATTTTTTTAGTATGCTTAACACAGTACAGTACTCTATTTGCCCCCCCGTTTGGGAGGGGGGGGCGCGCCTCTGCTGCTGCCTGACTACAAACTTCCGGTTCTAAATGAGGTGTGCGGTTGACCAGTCAGTTTGTAACTCTGTGGTTCTACTGTATACAATTCACCTTCACACAATAATGACTAAAACAAACAGAAAAACAAGCCCCCTGGAAGTTTCAAAAGGCACAAGATACCAACGTGATTAAATCACAGGTCTGACCCAGGAGGCAGAACTCCTGTGCCAGCTGACTTGAGCTGGTGGTTCCCAGGCTAAGGCGCTGTTTAATTCTGAGTGTAGACCCCCGAGCTCTGGGGCCCCGGCTCCAGCCTGAGCATCTACACCACAATTAAAGAGCCCCTTACCCCCAGCCCCGCTGGCACAGGCGCCTAACTGCTGTACAGCCATACCCTGGGGGGTGTCCACTGCCCCCTCCCCCTCCGGCGCCCCCACAGAGCCTGCTCCATCGCGCCGCAATCTCCGCAACGCGCCCGCCTGCCTGCAGCGGCAACGCCGAGGTCCACGTATAAATAATCGGGGTCTGCTCCGCGTTCCCCGCGGGCCGAACGCGCCCGCCAGCCCAGCTCGCGCCGCAGGGGAGCGCAGAGCCGCGGGAGTCCCGAGCCGGGAGCGGCGCACAATCGCTGCCAGCAGCCCAGGGACTCGGCGCTCTCCCGTCTGCCGCCCGCAGGCGAGCTCCTCGGGGCAGCCCGTTCGCGCCGCACCGCTCCGCGCCCCGCCCCGCCGGGAGGGGAGCAGGGGTTCCCCCAGTGGAACACACAAGCCCCGTTGCGGAGGAGATTCTCCGGCTAGGGAGGGGCACAGCGGCTTGCCAGGTAGTACAGCGGGTGTTCCATTCTCAGGGGTGCGGCCTGGTAGCCGCGCTGCGTCACACGCCCCGTACGTGCGCCACTCCGTTCTGGAACCTTCCCCCAGACGAAGAAGGGGAGGAAGGATAAGAAAGAGACCAGAGCCTCCCATATATGGGCAGCGCCGGAAGCATTTACGTCATGGCGTCGCCCCGTAGCGTCTCTGCGGGCAGTGAGCGGAACGTGACAGCGTTGTGCCCTGCACAGCGCCCTGGAAACCAAACAGTAAACAGCTCGCGGGGGAGGGGCGGCTCAGTGCGCAGGCGCACGGGGAGCTTGTCGCCGAGGGAGAGCGGTGAAGCCCTCTGGCGAGGGTTCAGGAGCCAGCTGCCAGGCGCGGCACGTGAGCCGGGCCGGGGCCAGGGTCGGGTGAGCTGCGGGTCTCTGGTCAGAAGCGTCCCCAGCAGGGCAGGCCAGGCCAGGCCAGGCCTGGCCTCTGCGAACAACCCTCCGTGCCAGGCAGCAGCGCAGAGGGGCGCGCCCAGGTCTCTGAACCTTTTTGCGGGCCGCCCCTCCCCGCTGTGACCCGAGGCCAGCGCCAGGGCGCGATCCCCCCGGGCCTAGCGTCCTGTGCCTGCGGCCTGTACCCGCGGGCCCCTGCTAATCCCCCTCTGCCTGTGCCCGGCCGCACGCACGGAGTAAAGAGTAGCTCTCCCGCGGCTGCAGCCGCGCACGCCTCCTGTGTTTGCTTTGAAAGGAGAGCGGGGACAGCGGCGCTGCCTGATTACCCTGTGAGGAAAGGTTCCTTAGGCGAAGGAGTGGGGCCGGGCTCGAACCTCCCCTGCTGCGGCAGGTTATTGTGTGTCCATGAACCATCTTGTGTGATCAATGGCCCCGTTGCCACTGGGAAAGCTCCCCGTCTCAGACTGATACTTGGGAGTTAACTTTTTGGCAGTGGTAACTTCTTGTCATGGCAGTAAAGTTGCTGACACTGAAAAGTCTCTGCTCCTGTTGGTTTCCTCTGTAAGGTAATGCGGGCGCAGAGGAAGATTAAATCTGTCAAATCCTGTTTTTCATAAGCACAAAAGTCGCATGAATTTTTTGATGAATAAACGATTGCTACGTTCTCCCAATGTTTGGAATTGACTAATACTGGAAACCTCTGTGATTACCTCAAGCTGCTCAGTAATTACATAAAACAAAAATAGACTTATGGATAATTAATTTTCAAAACTGTATTTAGAAATTATCTATCACTCTTCTTTGATGGTGAATGATGCTGATGTTTCTACCATCAGAGACTGCCATTGTACCCATACTCTAGCACAGAGGTGGGCAAAGCCCAGGAGGGGGTGGTCTGGGGACAAGGAGCGGGGGGTTGGATGGGTCAGGAGTTCTGAAGGGGGCAGTCAGGGGGTGGGAAGTGGGAGGGGCAGATGGGGTAGGGTGACCAGATATCCCAATTTTATAGGCACAGTCCCGATATTTGGGGCTGCATCTTATATAGGCGCCTATTACACCTCACCCCCATCCTGATTTTTCACAATTCCTGTCTGGTCACCCTAAGATGGGGGCAGGGGCCAGACTGTTTGGGGAAGCACAGCTTTCGCTACCCGGCCCTCCATACAGTTTCGCAACCCCGATTTGGCCCTCGCGCCAAAAAGTTTGCCCACCTCTGCTCTAGCAGCAGGTCTAGTCTGATGATGTAGGATAGGGCTAAGGAATTGATCTCATTTAAATGCAAGTCTCAAAATTGTAGTTTCTTCTACATTAAAATAGAATCTGCATCTGTGCATTCCTAATCTATATACCAGATTGTTAGGATAACTAATTCATATTTTACTGTTAATTATTCTGATTTAAATATATTTAAAACTCTTTGAACTGTTTGTGATTTATTGTTTGTAATTCAATATGGTGATTAGACTTTTTCTTATACTGCTATGCAGTTTCCCCCTAAGAATTAACTAGAAGTATTACAGTCTGTAGCACCAATAATTCAAGAGCGAAGAAAGATTCACAATAGGCCATTTTTCAATAATATTCTGTTTTATTTTTACCAATATCTGTGTAATGTGAGCACCAAAATATGATTGATAATTGAGGAATATGTATTTATTCCAAGTGTAGATTTGTATGCTACATGACATCCTCCTGTGGAAATATTCAAACAGAAATAGTTCTTCCTTGTGCAGTAAGTCACATATGACCATGTAGTCCCATGGAATAGGCAGCAGGTTTAAAACTAATACAAGGAAGTTCTTCTTCACGGAGCGCACAGTCAACTTGTGGAACTCCTTACCTGAGCAGGTTGTGAAGGCTAGGACTACAACAGCATTTAAAAGAGAACTGGATAAATTCATGGTGGTTAAGTCCATTAATGGCTATTAGCCAGGATGGGTAAGGAATGGTGTCCCTAGCCTCTGTTTGTCAGAGGATGGAGATGGATGGCAGGAGAGAGATCACTTGATCATTGCCTATTAGGTCCACTCCCTCTGGGGCACCTGGCATTGGCCACTATCGGTAGACAGGATACTAGGCTAGATGGACCTTTGGTCTGACCCGGTTCGATCGTCCTTATGTCCTTATGTACAGTAAATGAGATCAGACTATGGCTGTGATCCTGCTGTTGGATCTTTGTGGGCATACTCTTGTGCCCACATAGACCCCCCACTGTAGTTCAAGGATCCGCTTGCAGATCTAATTGCAAGACAGGCACCTACGTCTATACTATAAACCAGAGAATCAGAACGAACAGATTGGTAGGGAACACTGTCTGGTTTATCTCAGGCTAGGTCTATGCTACAGGGGGGGGTCGTCCTAAGATACGCAACTTCAGCTACGTGAATAGCGTAGCTGAAGTTGCGTATTTTAGGTCGACTTACCTGGCTGTGAGGACAGCGGCAAGTCGACCGCTGCCGTTGACTCCGCTTCCGCCTCTTGCCGCGGTGGATTTCCGGAGTCGATGGCAGAGCCATTGGGGATCGATTTTGTCGCGTCTTCACTAGACGCGATAAGTCGATCCCCAATAGATCGATTGCTACCCGCCAAATCGACGGGTAGTGAAGAAGTGCCCTCAATTAGCTACTCATCCTGGGTGAAATCCGTTTTGCAGGTAGTACATGGCAGATAAATCAGACCCAGGGTGTGCATGGGGGGAGTATTATTTTTATTTATATTGCACAACTAGTATGCATACCTCTATATGTGCATATAACAAGACAAAGGGTTGAGTCTGTGCAGTGTCTTTCAGGAAGCAAAATCTAGAGGATCTAGAGCTTTAAGCCCCCTTTGCACCTTCTGAATTCTGGGCTGCCCCTGGCATAAATTAGAGCAATTGCTGGGGCTGCAACCTAGGGTTAAACATGACATGGGAACACATTTTTGGGTATTGTCAATCCTACAGTTTATAATCATGTTAGCTAATATGTCATAAATAAAATTCAAGATATTGTCTGCTGTTTCCACTGTGTTTAGGCAAATGTCACATCCCCAATTCATACTGCTGGGCTTTTCTTTTTCACCACAGTATGAAATAAACACTGACTTCTGTTGCTTTCTATTGTGATCATCAATTATGTGTTAAGAAATCTGATCAGACTCCACACTTTGAGGAGGGCTCCATCTCCTTCCCAGTACTGCTCTAAGGACTATGCATTTTGTATAACATCTACGCCAGTGGTTTTCAAACTTATTTGATCGGGTCCCGCTTCTTTATACCTGTAGTCATTTACATCCCTCCCAAGTACATATTCCACCACCCAGTTCTGAGGCAGAGTGGAGAGCGGCTGCTGGCCGAGCACCCAGCTCTGAAGGCAGCGCCATGCCACACCACCAGCAGCACAGAAGTAAGGGTGGCAATGTGAAATGTGATATTTATCAATATCACTTTTCACAGCAGACTTAGCACCCCATTGCCATCCTTCTGTGCTGCTGCTGCCACCCCAGGGCTGACAGCTGGAGCCCCGCTGCCTCCAGGTGAGGGATGGGGGGAAAGAATCTGAGCCTGGGCTTCCTTCCAGTGAGGGATTGGAGGGTGGGGAAGGAGAGCCCAAACCCAGGTAGGGGCCTGGCTGTCCCCTTTGTCCCTGTCAGGTGTGCGTGGCCCTTCTGCACAAGCCCTAGTCACCCAGAGCTAGCAGCTGGAGCTCTTTAAAAAAAAAACAAAAAAACCCAGCTCTTGCCTCTCTTGGGGAGGCCCGCCCCATAGTTTGAGAACCTTTGATCTATGCTTTGTTAGATACTTTGCCAAAATCCAGCACCTCACCTTTTAGGAGAGTTTGGATTGTAAACTGATGCATGGACCTCACTTGATACTTGTTTGTCAAACAACTAGCAGAATATTAGAGCTATATCTATGTGTCACCTCATGGTTTGGTACTGCTGCCCATTACCATAGTGGCGGGGCACTTTTCATGTAAAATAGATTGGCAATATGAAAGTACCAGTTTCTAAGTGTTTGATGTCTGAGAGTAGGACCTAGGACAGGGGTAGGCAACCTATGGTACGTGTGCCAAAGGCGGCACGCAAGCTGATTTTCAGTGGCACTCAAATTGCCCGGGTCCTGGCGGTTCTGCATTTTAATTTAATTTTAAATGAAGCTTCTTAAACATTTTAAAAACCTTATTTACTTTACATACAACAATAGTTTAGTTATATATTATAGACTTACAGAAAGAGACCTAAAAATGTTAAAGTGTATTACTGGCATACGAAACCTTAAATTAGAGTGAATAAATGAAGACTTGGCACACCACTTCTGAAAAGTTGCTGACCCCTGACCTAGGATCAGTGCTTGAGATCTATCATATTCTGATAATGGTAGATTCCTGTTTAATGTTGTAAAGCGGGAAGTTACTTCGTGTTGAGAGGCTGTGAAGCTGCAATATGGATACAAAGTATGGTGCACTCTGTACATGCCTGCCCTTGTATTACAGTTTGGGGGAAGAGGCAGAGCATACTGTGGAAGCCAGAGAAAATGGGAGTTAAATTAACTAAACCCAGAATGGCCATAGTGGCTTCCAACATTTAAAGCATTCCTGCAGGTGCTGAGTTCAGTGCATACTAAAAAAACTCCAGCATTTTCAGTACAGGTAACCAAATGCTACTGGGGCCAGCAAGACATTCCTGCCTCAGGAGCTTTCCTAGTGCTATCTCTAGAAGAATCACCAGTTACCTTGGGCTGGAAGTTATAGATGATTTAGTTGGTTTCACTCATCACTGCCCAGGACAAATGCAGCATCTGGGGAGCATGTCAGGCTTCTTTCTCTGCAGAATTTCTAGAGTTACCTAAGGGACATGGGTGGCCCCTGATTGGGCTTCACACTCATTTAGAAATAGCAATGGTTTCTTATGTGAAAGTAACTGCTGGGTGGGGGAATTGATTCCTTAAAGAAAAAGGGTTTTTTTGGTTTGTTTGTTTTAAACAGGTGACCCTTCTAGCTAAATCTGTGCCTCTTAAGACATTGACACGGTTTCTGAGATTAGTCTAGACCAGAGCCTTCTTTGTTGCCCTTGCTCATTCATCATTGCCATCAGGTTTTTACCATCTTATCACCGGATTTTAGGGATACAGTAGAATAGCCTTCCTGCATCCAAGCCCATAGTCAGTGCTGAAATCTGCTTAATTCCAAATTACTTTTAATAGGTTGGATATCCCCCTTCAGAAGAGCTGAGTTTCTATGCCCAAGCAAGGGGCAGGAAGGGGAGAGGAGAGAAAGGCACCTTAAGTAAAGGGGAAAGTCTATTTTAAGACAGGCCCACCTGGAGGGAAACAAATCCACACAGTAGTTGGGCTCTCCCACCTGATAGAAAATATATAACCATATCCATCTTAGCAGGGATATAAATAAGGCTAATGGGAAGTGAGGGAGGGAACAAAGTAAAAGGGAAGTGCCAAAATTGTGTTAATATACAAACATTTACTGCCATTAGAACTGTGGTATAGGAGACACTTTAGGCACATACTCAGATTTTGCTACGGCAGTATTTGTTACAGAAGAGGAGCAGACAGGAGTTAATGGTTTCTGTAGTATTAGATTCTGCAGAACCTAGACTGCCTTGTAAGAGTGAGTTTCCAGCCCCCCTGGTTGCAAAGGAAATATGGCAAGTGTTTACTGAACACAAACTAGAGTGTGTTGTTTCTGACTGCCTCAAAATATTGACTTGAGTGTCAGCTTCCCTCCTCCATCTGTTTGGAATATTTACTCTGACACAGTGATGAGGTCACTGTTAAATACATACTGTGGTATTGCTGATCATTTTTGATAGAAGGAATGGGAGAAGGCCATACTGGGGGAAAAAGATGAGGAAAACAGGAAGGAGAAAGAGTTGCTGCAGGGGGAAGAACAATGTCCTTCCAGACAGACAAGATGAGAATCAGTGTGAAAAACAGCACCCTAGAAAGTGAGGCTACATTCCCTCCCCCCAAAATGTTGAATCATTTAAATTCAGCTATTCCATAATCAATCTAGCCTTGACCTTGCTTCCCTCTGAAATTGGTAGGTGGCTACTAGCCATCTTAGATTTTCATTGACCTAGACCACAGTTGAAGGCCAGCAGAATTTATGCCTGCCTGCAAAGTGAGGGGACAGGCAGCAGATGAGAGGGAGATTGAAGTGTTTGTATATGGAAATTAGGAAGTAGTACATTTGAACCCCAGGGTAATTAGTATCTTCACTATTAAGTAGTGAGTGTCACATTTTACAGCACTTGGCTGTTACAGAAGTTCCATTAAAGACCCCAAAGCAGGTATAGCATTCAACTTAAATGCTTTTATTGACAATGTCTCTGAACAATAATAAGCAAACAATGCTTAAGTTTCATCCAAATTCACTTTCCACATGTCAAAAAGACCTTAAGGTAGAAAAAAATAAAATAAAAATATAAATATCTGAGAATCCATCTTAATAAATAAATTAAAGACACAATAAAAACGTTTTCATGGAAAACTTATGTCAGAACATCCAGATCACCTCAACAACGCATGATCAGTACAGTTACAATGAACATTGATGTAGGAGAACTACAGTACATGGTGCCAAAGGCGGCACGCAAGCTGATTTTCAGTGGCACTCAAATTGCCCGGGTCCTGGCGGTTCTGCATTTTAATTTAATTTTAAATGAAGCTTCTTAAACATTTTAAAAACCTTATTTACTTTACATACAACAATAGTTTAGTTATAT